GTACAACTTTAATGCGGATGTATGTTTGGTGTGTCCGGCGAATGCCCAATGCAATGGTTCTTCAGTCACACCAGTGGATGGCTTCTGGCACTCCACATCAAAGTCCACCAAAATGCACGAGTGCATCAACGCCAAGGCCTGCACTGGTAGCGGCAGGAGGGTGGCTTTGATGAACATGGCGCATACGGCACACAGGACGGGACATGCTCTGGAGTTTGGCGACAATGGGATGTATCCCCAATGCAACGAGGGCTACCATGGTGTCCTGTGCGGCGCCTGCGACACCACTCATGGCAAAGTGCGATCCGGAGAGTGCGTGAGGTACAAAGGCCGAGGGAGAAGCATTGGCTTCGCCTGTGGACTTGCGCTGTGGCTTTTCGCAGTGGTTATGGTGCTTGTCAGGAATGTTGTCACAGCAGTTCCGGAGGCAGGGAAAGGAGAGCCAGTATCATCAAGGGCAACGCCCAGATTGTGTTCGGGAACCATGTTGGGCTTGGAGCAGGGGATGTATCCTCGACAAGGTGCAGATGGCACCGGGCGACCCAGTGGCAATGAACTCATGACAATGAAGCTGCTGAGGAACAGGAACTACGCTGCCGACATTTTCAAAATTCTCGTCAACTTCTTGCAGGTCACAAGCGTGGCCGTCTTCATCAACGCAGGATGGACGGGGGCCGTCTCCACAGCGTTGGGAACTGCTGACGCAGCCACGTCCGGGGGCCAAGGCCTGTTTGCCTTGGAATGCGCCTTCAGCAACAGACGTACCGTTTCCAGATCGTTTCAGATGTTCGCCGTCAGCCTGCTCTTCCCTGCCGTGGTCCAAGCCGCCCTCATGTTGTTCTGGGCAATCACAGCAATGTCCAAAGCAGAGTCCGCAGCTTACTTGCTTCGGCGCTGGCGGGTGTGCGCCTTGGTGGTCTTCTACTTCTTCTACAACGAGATGACCAGGAATGCGGTGATCCTGTTGGACTGTTTGCAAGCCGATGGCAGGGATGAGCCCGAGGAGTATGCCATCGCCAGGGATCGGTACTGGGCGAGGGACACAGACAGGGTCTGTTGGGAGGGTGGACATCTGGCTCTGGCCCTCTGTCTGGCCGTTCCAGTCGTGCTATTCGTGAGTCTGGGCTTCCCACTCAGTCTTCTCGTCAAGTTCACCCGCAATCAAGCCAGCCTCGAGACGGAAGAGTGTGTGCGCACGCATGGGTTCCTCTACTGGTCTTACAGACCCGGCTGCCGATACTGGGAGGTCAACATTATGGCTCGGAAGGCCTGCATGGCGACCATCTCAGTGTTCAGCTTCTCCTTGCGCGCCAACTTGCAGGCCACCCTTTCCACGGGCGTGTTGGTGTTGGCGATGGTCGCGCACCTCCAGGTACAGCCCTTCGTGACTTGGGGCCCCAACCTGCACCGCATGGAGACCGCGTCTCTTTCTTGCTCAATTCTGGCTTACCTTATGGCCCTCATCTTCAATGATCCGAACACGTCGCCCTCGGGGCGAGTCGTGGCCTCTGTGGCGTTGATTGTGGCCTGCTCGGGCGTGTCGTTGTACTTGGTGGTGGAGCTGGTGCGGGAGGCATGGGGGAAGGTGGATGCCATTCTGGACGACGCCGGCATCAGGGCAGTGGACGGTTTGACGATATGGGAAAAGCTACGGCAAGTCGTGCTGTTTGTGGTGCGAAAGATTCCGTGTTTGAAGCTAAGCGGGGAGGAACAAACTGGCGTCGTGGAACCCAATGAAGGGGACAAGGGATGCGCCGATTAGCATAAATTTCTGGACGTTCAGTGGGTGCTCTAATGGATGTTCTAATGTAGGCTTTTGGAACGACGCTATAACGGGACCTTCTGAATGCTCATTTATCTATACTTCCATACTCAGGCCGTAAGCTGTGCCATGCAAATTTTGGAGGCAGTTTTTTTCTGGTTGGGCCAACGTGCTGCAGCCCCTTGGCCAACAGTTTTGTGACAACCGAATAATGTACCATTTTTGTCAATTTTTCGTTGCTCCAGTGCATCGAGGGTTAGATATGCAGGTTGCTGGTGTTTGCATGTGCTGCTCTGCACTGGGCATGAGCTCACCACTGCACACAATAAACTAATTTAAGCGACCCCCGCAGTACGCTTGTCGCTGTAGTTTCGCAGCAGCTGTGAGCACCAGAGATGTTCCACGTCTTGAGGCAATGTGCGGCGCACACAAATTTAACTGCACCTCCTCGTTCTCAGTAATTGGAAGCACACGAGTTCATGGGATGTTGACGCGTTCTTTCAACCAATTCTTTCAAAGGCCTGGTGCGACTTCAACAAGGGATTGCCTCTTTGTCGTCGCCACCATCGCAGCCTGCGTGCCGTGCAAGTGTGATATACATACTCACACATCCCCACATATATAGCTTGCACCCACCAAAACATTCTGCATTCTTGCGCCCGACGCGTCGCCGTACTGCTAGAAACAACCCATTGCTCCCCACTGTCCGAATTTCAAACTGCAAACTACCAAAGGGCAATCCTCACATCCAGCGGTCCCTGGCCGCTCGCTCATCCACCCTTTCCAAAGTCTGCCAGCTGCAGGCCCTTCATACACTTTCCATCAGAGTGTGATGATCACATTTGCAACGTTGACATAAGCAGGAAGTCCAATAGGTTGTACCAGCAACCTTCAATGCATGGCAATGGGGCGTGCTACCACCCCAAGAAGCGGGGCTCATCTCAAAATGCCAAAATATTTAACAACGTATGGTAGGAACGGTGACATAATCAACGCTGTTGAATGAGTAAGCCAGGAATACAACCGAATGGTAAGGAATGATATCAGCGTGCACAGCTGTCTAGTTTCCCAGTGTTGCGGCCCTGAAGGGTGCCGCTGGTTTCCGAAGCTCGTGGGGTCGCCACGCCCTGCGGCTTGGCTGTTGGAGGTCAGCCAACCCTCTCCACCGATTTCGGTGGGCTGAAGCGGGGCGCTCGTTCCCTCGGATGCGCGGTGGGCCCAGAACGATGGGGATCGTCCCCCGGGGCCTGCTATATGTGGCGGGTGGTGGCGCAGCCAGTCGGTGGCTCGCTGGTCGCGGAGAGACCAGACAGTGGGCCAGAACGGTGTTACACGATTCACAGCATGCGCGCGCACAAATCCGCATGCGCGATGCCTGATCGCGGGTCCATCGCTGTCACATCAAGACAAGACAAGTCAGGTGCACGTTCAGGCACATCGTCACCGTCCACCGTTCACCTACGATCGACGCATTGTCCTCTAATTCCAAGCGTCTAACACCCGACCCCCTGGCCCTAAGTACTACAACTTCAGGAGGCCATATCTTCGCCATTTCTTAACGGAATCGGGCGTTTAAAAGCTCGTTGGAACCAAGAAGCTCTTAATAACGTCCCAAAAGGTACATTTGGCCAATTACGTAATTCCCACTCCAGAAATGTCAAATAAGCCGAAACCCCAAGCAGCCACGTCACACCCAGCAACTGTGCCACGTTGGCATCTGCGAGAATCTTGTGTGTGAATCACGCATTTGTAGTTGGACTAGTCGAGCACAATGAGGGTTTGGGGCTTTTTGAGGTAAGGCACGTGTGCAACACACAGGGTTGGATGTCCAACCCGTCCGGTGGGGTGCCCACAGGTTCATTTACCTTTGCAACCCGAATCAGATTGCTCAGTTGCATCTGTACCGGTTGGGATTGAAAGCTGTGGCGAAAATGAGACAGGTGATTTTTGGTGTTGCTCCCATCCACATCCACCTTTTCTTCTTGCAGTTTGAATTAGTGTTGAAGAAATGCAAACTTGATGAGCTTTAATTCAATGACATTATTGCAGAGCAGGCTTATGCCTAGAGGGAGTCTAGTTGAGAGCGTGCTCCTATACGCCTTTTAAAATAAATTATTGGGTTTTTTGTGTTCCTTAATTGTATGCACATCTATGTGAGCCCCAATTTAGCCCGTGTGTCAAGAACAAGGCCTTATCTATGGAACCTGTCATGCCAAATTTCGTATCTTTCATGTCAATTCGATGCTTAGCGAAGGGGGAGGTACGAGGAGCGGGTCCAGACCAATGACGCTAAGATATTGTGTCGTGGTCACAACACAAATACATTCTGCAAAGTTGCCCAGTCGCTGCTGATTGGCACCAATTTGGCGCCACCAAACAAGTCACAACTTATTCGAAAACCTCCCACAAGCGTTGAATTTTCTGGAGGGACCCTAAAACGGCTCAATTGACATACTTCGGGGTGGCCCCCGTATCCTGTCAGAGCGTTGAGCATTTCATTTGCACTCCAGTACAGCTACCACAGACTGTGGCTACTCTGGCAGTTTTCGTCCTAAAGGACGTATCCAAGTTGTATCGCACCATTTGGTGGTGCTGCTGAGTCATCTTGGTTTCAACGCAAGAAGCGACACTATTAGCTCTTATTCTTAAAGAACAGGTGGCCATGAACTTAGCAAATTGACGCGAGGCGCACCGAAATCGGCTGCTTATCTTCTGTTTTAGTGCTGATGGTACCGAGGATGTCCGACCGGGGATCAAAGCGGGTACCTCTGATGGGATTTCCCACTGCTCCGCCAAACCACCTGGGGTAAGGAATAGGGTAGGCCAACCTCTCAATGATGGACTTTCAACGTGCGATGCAACGCGGATGTCCAAATAGCCCCGCCGGTGCAATAGTGCAATATCACCACCGATAAAGATGCTCTAAGCACCCTTCCACCCAACATCTTCCACGAGCGCCACCAAGCTGGGACCAAGTAGGGCCGGCGTACATTGAGCCCCAGTGAAAAGAAAATGCGCAAAGGGGACATGAGGAGAGAACATGGCACAGCTGGTGGTCCCAGGTGCCCGCCAGCCTGCCCACCCTTCCTGCCCCCCTCCCCAACCGCCCGGCTCCCCCGCGCCAGTCCCGCAGCGACCACCGCCTCCAAGCCACCCCCGTCCCCACCTTTCCGAAAACCACCCCTCGCCGCGGCGCCCCATCCCCAACGCGAAAATGCCCTGCTCGCCAGCCGACTAGATGCTCTCCTACGCGGCCCTGGCGGGCCTGTGCGCCCTCCGGGCCGGATCCAGGCCCCCAGGCCTCTCCCCTCTTTCAAGATGGCCCCCCTGGATCCCAGGATCGGTCCCTCCGGGCCTCCAGCTCATCCCGCGCGCTCGATCGGCGGTGACCATCGCGGGCGTCGCGCGGCGAGCAAACGGTGGCGGGGTGGTGATGATTGCCAGGCGGCTGCTCGATGAGTACAAGCGCCTTTCCAAGGCCAAGCTGAGCGCGCTGGTGACGGCCACGGCATGCACTGGGTACGTGCTGGGCAGCGGGGAGACCGTGGACTGGGCCGGACTGGGTTGGACGGCGTTGGGGACCATGGGCGCCGCGGCGTGCGCCAACGCGCTGAACCAGATCGCGGAGGTCAGGAGCGACGGGATGATGGCGAGGACGGCGTCGCGGCCGCTGCCGTCGGGGAGGATGGCGGCAGGGCACGCGCTGTGCTTCGCGGTGGCGGCGGGCGCGGCGGGGATCGTGATCCTGGGGTGGAAGGTGCGTTGGCGTGGGTGAGATTTGTTGCAGGGAGGAAGGGAGAGAGAGTTTTCCTTCAGAATTGGGATCCCTTTTACGCCAAGGTTTCGACATCACAGGTCATGCCCCATCTGTCGTATGTCAGATTGACTTTCCCGCTCTGTCTCAGCCACCGAAGGCAGCCAATGTAATGCAGGGAGGAACATGTCAAACTGTGGGCCCCCCGTCCTAGAAAAGTGTTTGCAAGACTCTTTTCCATGCCGCGAAGCGATGATGTGGAGTCTCCCGTTGCGAAATGATGAGCACACAACACAAGCAACACAAAAGGCAAGGCAACATGCCCACAACAGGGCCGGTATAGGTGGGTGCCGAGATGTGCTTGGCACCCCGAGAACTAGATCAAGAAATGGTGCACCACCTCCTGAGCAAGCAGACGGAGAGCCCTGCTCCATCCCGCAGGTGTAGGTCCCACTGTGGACAAGAAAGAAGTCGAGGGTGGAAGGGTTTTGCATAGCCTGCGTGGGTGGGTGGGTGTTGGTTTGTTTGCCGTGATCGGACTGCACGGATTGTCGACACCAGAGAGCATTGCCACTCTGTCGCATGTGCGCGGACTCCAGATATGTGCACCAAACAGGCTCCAATCCCATAAACAGAGGCAGTATTGTGTGCTTGGACTAGTGGTGGTGGTGGTTTGCTGTTCTCTTTTGGTTCCAAAGATAAGTTAACATTTGTGAACCAAGGTATCACACGCATCTTGGAGGAATGTATGAGGGCTTTGTACCACCTCACAAGAAGGTCCAGGGCGATGCAAAGCCCAGAGGACTGATGGCAAAAAAATCTAGCTGACAATCTTAAAAGATAATGTTAGGCATTATGGTGTGTTGCTGTAGACCATTGCCAAGACGCAGTTTTCCAAAGGGATGTAAGCCAATATGGGGGCAATGTCACCTAACCAGTGAGTAGGGACCGATGGATTCTAGAGTGCCTTGAGTTTGTTGCTTTAAAGAGCAGGCCAGATGCAAAGGGTCATGACCACAGGATGACCTTGACTTCTACATGTTGCAAGACCCACAGTAGTGCTGAACATCGCTTTAATGGTGGACGGGTGGTGCCTAGTCATGCCTGCATGGCGGTTCAGTGAAAATGGATTTCAATACTCATCAATACTGTCCAGGTACAAATGCAGCGATTTGCCAGTTGTTGATGAATGGAAGCAGAGGATTTGCAGATTCTGAATTTCTGATGTTGGTACATTACTGGTGACACACACACACACACACACACACACACACACACACACACAATGTGCATAGTCTCCCACTGAGCTCCCTTTATTCTTTTCTATTTTCGTTCCTTCCAGTGACGTATTTCACCACTGTTTACTTCAAATTGAAGTTGTTTAATTCACATTTGGTTCTATTCTCACTCCTTTTACTTGGAGTAGCTTTCCCGTTCTCCCTTCGCATGCACTGCTTGAATTGGTGGCACAAAGTCGTCATCCTGACGTCCGACGCCCTTTGCCCCCAGACCAACGCCCTGACGGCCGGCCTGGGCGCGGCCAACATCGCCCTCTACGCCGGCGCCTACACCGCCCTCAAGCGCGTCACCCCCTGGAACACCTGGGTGGGCGCCGTGGTTGGCGCCATCCCCCCCCTCATGGGCTGGGCTGCTGCCTCCGGCACCCTGGACTCCGGGGCCTGGGTCCTGGCCGCCGCCCTCTACTTCTGGCAGATCCCACACTTCCTGGCCCTGGCGTGGCTGTGCAGAGAGGACTACGCCCGCGCGGGGTACAAGATGCTGTCCAAGTACGACCCCACGGGGCGCCGATTGGGCCAGTGCGCCCTCCGCAACAGCCTGTACTTGCTCCCCCTGGGCGTTGCGGCCGCGTGGCTGGGCGTGACGAGCCAGCCGTTTGTGTATGAATCCGCGGCCCTGTCGGTGGGGATGGGCGTCACGGCGGCGGCCTTCTGCGAGGCGCCGTCCAAGCTGCTGGCGCGGGCGATGTTCAAGTCCAGCCTGGTGGCGCTGCCGTTGTTCATGGCAGGGATGCTGGCGCACAGGGTGCCCAACGAGGGGCGATCGGACTGGAGGGTGCTGCGGCACAGGGCGACTGGGGGACTGTACCCGCTGCCAGTAACCGCCTCCGGGGCGGCCCTGCCTGAGCGGGATGGGAGCTGGGAGTGCAATCTGAGGGCGGTTCAGGCGGCGCCTTTCCCCTTTGCGCCCCTTCCATTGATCGAGGATGTGGGCGGGGAGGAGTGGGAGGCGGAGAGCAAGGGGGAAGGGGAGGGTAGATAGGGCAGCTGGATGGAGGTCAGCAGCCACAGTTGAGTAGTTCCCTTGCATTCTTTTTGAGACCGCCGTGGAAGGGGTTTCCTGGCGCCTGGGCTTTTTAAAGGACTGGACAAGGACTGGATGTCTGTGCGCCGCGTGGCATCGGGGTTGTGCTGTTCATCATTCGTTGCAGCGCTCAATGGCGCTTGTGACAGAACGACAACGGTTGTGTGGACACCCACCCACGACAGGGGGCCTTTTCAACAGACAGGCTCGTCGCAAGGCGGGGCCGTTCCCGGGGGGTGACGCCATCTTGGTTCCAGCCAACATGTCATACCATCCCTGGTGTACGGCAACTGCAATTGTCATGGGCCGGTTGTTGGCAGCACGCTCCCCATCGGCACATGGTCATGCTTGGGAAGGTTGAGCCGAGTCGGATTCAAGCAGGTCAGGGACGCATACCCCCCGGCGGACAGAGATGATGCCCTCATCGGATCCAATGTTGCCGTATGTCATGTGCAGAGCAATTGAATTGTGCCCTTTTTGGCCATGACCGGCACAAGGGCAGCGTTCTGTGACTTTGACCAATCTAATCAGAGGAAGGCATGGCGGCCCACCCAGAACTGGCAGCACACGTGCCAAACAACAAACAGCTCCTTGGGGGTGGTCCAAGCCACGCATGCACTCGTGCGGGCAACCTGCTTTAGGAGGTGTGGATCAAAGCCGAAAACGCAACAAACACACAGGCACGCAGACGCACAGCCGTCACCGCATCCCCAGGCGCGAGGGCCTTGTTTTTGCACGTGTTTTTGACAACTTAACCAACGGAATTCACACACCCGTATAAGAATCCGGCACACGACCACACAATATTAAATAACCAACTCAACAGCCCTGGTCTTCACGGCCTCCTAGTCGACAAGTCGAGAATCACACAAACAATCGGGTCCTTTGTGAAAGGACGGCAGGCCCTAAGGCACAGATCGTTTCCCTGCTGCAGCTCCACCACGCGGCCCGGCCGCGCTCCGAACGCACAGCGCCATCCAAAACAGGCTTTCGATATTTCCTCCATTCAGCTCTGCACGGCCCAACCGGTGGGTTTGACAGCACTTTATGAATGCTACGGCGGGTGCAAAGGCACCAGGCACCAAAGAAGAATCCAGATCTCCCCTCCCCGAGCAAAAACAAATGATCACTTTTGCAACACAACTTGTTCCGCAGGTTCCAACGCCCCATGTGTCACTCACACAGCGCGGACTAAATTCATTACTCCTTTTGTTGGACCCCCGGCCGCCCTGCAGCAGGCCCGGCTCCCCCGCCTTCCCAAAAAAAAGCGGGCGCACATTGGTACAAAGAGAGACGACACAAAATCAAAGAATACACGTCTTGTTGGTCCGCCACGATTTTCTTCTCATGGAACTTGCGCGTTTGGGGACACTCGGCCGCCAGGGCCGCTCGCCGTCAGAAATCTTCCGGCGTCTATGGAAAAAGGGACAAAAAGAAGAATGTCGGGCCGGGAGGCCCGGCCCACCCCTGGAACCCCAAAGTATCAAAAAACCGTGAGAAGCGCACACGGTAGGACACCCGCCCCCGCCGGGCCCCGGTGTCCGAAAAGGTCCGTCACGCCGACCCGCCCCACGCGCCGCCCACTAATGCAACACGGCGCGTTCGGCCATCAGGCTGGGAGCGCTCCAACCTGTCTGCCTGGGGCACGGCCCTGTCGCCCGCCAGAACCCCACGGCCGTGGCTGTGCGGTCTTCGACCACACACACCCGGAGCGTCCGAGCAAACCGCCCGGCGCTCCGAGCCAAGCGCCAAGGGCACGCCCCCCGCTCGCTCTCCGGGCGCGCGGGGCCGACAGAGCGCGGATGGGGCTTGGGCGCATCATCGCGACTGGCGCCGATCCCGCTGGGCGCCGATCGGGCTGGTTTGCTGACCCCCACGCAGGGATCAGCCCTGGCTGATGAATCGGTACCGATGTTGGGGGGGCTTGACGACCGCCCCCCGGCGCACCGCGTGGCCCTTCGCCGCCTTGAGGTGCGGCCCGGAGCAGCGCAGCATCGCCAGCGTGCAGGCGGCCACGCGGGCCAGGTCCTCGAGGTACTCCTGCGCGGTCAGCCATCGGTCAAAACCTGCGGGGGCCGGAATTGGCCAGGCGGCGCCCCCCGCGCTCCACCCCGCGACGGGACTCCGGCCCCTCACCTGGTCGGAGGCCATCGCCTCCCCTGCAAAGCTCCCGCGCGGGCCGATCTCGAACCGCCGCCACGACCAGCCCTCCTCACCCCCGGCCCCGTCGGTCTCCATCACGTCCCAATCCAGATCTTCATCCCCCCCGGGCCTGCGCCACACACAACAGCCATCCCCGATCTCAGCAATCCCCTCAATTTCCCCCACCCCCACCCGCGAGCCAGCAATCCCAATACGCCAATCCGTCCGTAAGCACACACGCTCACCGGTACAGCACCCTGCGCCTCCGCCTGGGCCGTGCGCCCGGGCTGTGAGAAAGCGAGCTGGAGCTCACCGACCGCCTATCCCCGGTGGACCTGTCAGAGCTGCCCGAGGATGCCCGATCGCAACTCAGCAAGCTGCGGGCTTCCGTCCTGGGGGGCTCCCTGGGGGTTACGCCGCCGGTTGCCTTCTGGCCCGGCATGTAGCCCTCGAGGTTGCGCTTGACCAGGTAGCGCGCGCCGCAGGCGTTGCAGAGCACCGGCTTCTCCGGCGGGCCCTTGCGCCAGCACGGGCTGCATGTCCGCCCGCAGTGGTTGCAAGGCCCCCCGCACCCCCGCCGCACCTTGCCCTTCATCTCAGCCTTCCCGGGATCGAGGGGTCCTCTGCGGGGGATGGGGTTGGACGGATCGGAGCGGAGCGGGGGCGACCGTTGCCCTCCTCGGCTGCGGCGAGCAGCGCTGATCGAAATCAGCCTCCAGCGAAAATACCCTGCCCCCTTCTTGGCTCCGCGGTTGAGACGCGGCGCGGTGCAGCGTGTGGGGGCGCCTGCTCTGGTTGTGGGTTTGGCGAAGGGAGGACCTCGTCAAACCGGGGCGCCCGTGGCAGGGCGTCCAACTTAGGCGGGGGAGGGGTACTCCTGCGTACCGGGATCGCAAATATCGCGGAAGTATCTAACGGCCGCAGCCCGCCTGGGGCGCCGTACGCGGCGGATCGGGCCGCGGAGTAACGGGCGGGGGCTTACGTAAGGGCGCCGGGGCTGCCGGTTGCCGGGATTGCCCGCCGGATATGGCGCCAAGCGGGGCCAATGGGGAGGCGGCGGGATCAGGTGGGTGGGCCCAAAGAGAGCAGTAGCAGTACTTTGCGTGCCCTTTCTGGTACTTTAACCTCGGGCCCCGGGATGCCGGTCCGCAGGTCCCGGCGGGGCCACGGGGGCCAAGATTTGGGCGGGGGCGCACGTCATGGCCGTGCTGAGGCGAACCGGGGACGTAGGGCATTAGGCATCCGTCACACGCCGTCCGAGAAGGGCGTCGGGCAGGCGGACGGGGGGGCTGGGGTGGGTGCGGTGCGCGTTCCGGCGTGGTGTGAAGGTGGCCGGAGGGCAACGGGATCAGGGGCGGGGCCCGGCCCCAAGCGAGAAGGCAATGGGACGAGGGTCAAGGTACTTCGTCAAAAGGGGGCGGACGGGGTGGCGATTTGTTACCAAGAGCGAGAGGAAGAATTCATACAAAGGGCAACCTCTCTTCAGCAAGCGTGTGCGAGCTGAGAAGGGGGTGGGAAAGACAAACGTCCATTCCTGCTCAGCGTCCATCCTCATCCCGAAGCCAGGATGACTCAGCAGCATTGCCTAATATATCAGGCATTATGTAATGCGGTGTGACATCAAAAAACATGTTAAGGACAACTGTCAACGTTCTTTAGCCATCCCGGTTCAAGGTCCCACTCGCCGCAATCGAATGCGCACAACAATGGGCCACAACGCAGCACGAGTCAAACCGTTTTGGTTCGACTCTGTGGCAACCTTGTTGCACGTGGTGCTCGAGCGCACTCGCCATGCATGGTCGTACAAGCAGCCAAGACTCAACTTGTCTTCCAACCAAACCAAGAGAAGCCACGAACAAGTCTCGGGCTATTCTTTAAATACCAGAATGCGCTCCTTTTTTCGCCCACCAGTACTCACACACAGAATGCAGGATTGAACTCACACACGCACAACACACTGCCCCACAGCACCGACCCATAGCATCGACCCACAGCACCGACCCACAGCTCCAACTCATAGTGCCAACTCACGATCACCAAATTAATAGGAGTGAAGCTGATTGTTGGCCAGCCGTCCTCCCGCCATCTCAATCAGGTCAACGTGTGCACCAGTCGGCCAGCACATGAACATGTGCTTGCACAACAAGGCAGCTGCGGCTGTCTTGGTGTGTCAGACTTTCGTCTCTTTAAACTGGTTCTTTAAGCTGCACTCACTTTTTGCAGTGACTTCATTGCACATCAGTTTTCAGCCACCGATATCCAGCCATGAGAACTGGAAAGTTGCGTGTGAAACGTCAAGAAAAGGTGACAACCATTCAAAGATGTTGATGACATGCCTCGAAACGGCATTCTCATATGCCACCACTTAATCGTCGGATTACAAATCAGTAATTGACGGAGGCAGATCAGTGGTCAATTACTGGTAATTCGAACAACAACCAAAAGCCAAGAATTTGTGGAGATTGTAGTGGCGTGTGGAAATGGGACCCTCAACGTTGTGTGCCATCAATTGAGATGTGTTGGGGCCCTCCCTAAGGATTGAAGGTCCAAGGGAGATTTTGGAACAAGTTATGACTTGTTTGGGCTAAACATTGGGGCTTTGACCCCGCGGGTGAAGAGTGAATGACACTGGAAGTCATCCAACCCCAGGTGTGTGGCTACACAAAATACATAATACGAAATCAAATTATCGGATTGCCGTTGTCCCCATTTCCCTTTCACTACCCCAAGTCCGTTCCCCTGTATTAATGAAGTACTGCAAACCATCACTAGGAAAAAAAAGGGCCAAATAACACTTTTGCGAACACACATGAAACCCATTTCATCAAAGTTCTGCATGCTGAGAACACAAAAGTAGCACAAACCCGTAAACTTTATACACATTTGAACACGTGTTATTTGGCCCTTTTTTTCCTAGTGCATGGAGGATAGTGGGGGGGGTGTTGAACAGTGCAGGGCCTTTAGATATAACTAAATCACCCCCAGTTATATATAACGCCCCCGATGGTATCAAACACGGCCGGTGTTGTGGAGCACGTGGAGTATGCAAGATAGCGCAGGGGGGCACCACTCACTTCAGCATCACGTGCAAGCACCGTTCAAAGCACTTTTACACATTCTCACATCTCATTGCATATGCTAGCACCCCAATGTTGTCAAGTTCACTTCAACTAAACATTGCCATGGCATTCCTCCTTCAATCAAACACCATGTCCTCAAGATTCTCAGTGCCCAGCTCCATGCTGCCATCACTCAAGCCAAGGTCATCGGGATCTCCAGGCTGTCTCCAGTGCAGTGCGACGTCCCAACAGCTGTGATTGGTTGGCGCTGTGATTTTCGTCTTACATACATCAATCGATTGATTGGCAAAGCGAACCGGCGCCTGGACAATACAGCCCATTGCATAATGAGACAGATAGACATAATGACATTGCATAATGAGACAGATATCTGGCAACGCAAGTGCCGTAAGCACAATGCAGCGACCTGTGGTGTCCCATGAGCTTTTCTGGCGCCGGTTTTGGCTGCTGCCGTTAATGGCTCCTTATAATCCTTATTGCATAATCATGTAATGGTCTTAGCTGGTGGGGCGCCGGTACGCTTTGCGGCCTGTGCACAGGCCGCACGTGCGTGCCCCGCGCGCGCGGGCCAGAATGGTAACGCGGAAGGGCGTTACTGAGACAGCGACCTGATGTGGAACGTGTGGGCACGGAAGATAGCGCGGGGCACGCAAAATATCCCCCCCCCCCCCCGCATTCCTGACATCAGCCCTGATGTGCAACGCGGGGTGGGGGGGGGGGGTGGGTGGGGGTGCGCGCTATCCTTCATGATCTACGGTACATCTAAGCTATACTGAAACGCTATATCTATCACATTCCCAACTAAAACCCCATCCAGGCCTTGGTCTACTCTCCGCATTTGTCGCCGAAGTGATAGAGACACCCTAAAGTCGCCTTTTTCATAGCTCAATGCAAGTCGCAATAACTCAAGGTAGATGTGGATGGCAGCAAACGGGAAATAACTATTGTCCATGTCACCACAGTGTTCAGTCCACTTCTTGCCGATGCCAACGTGGTACGCCTGGCGGGAAGCCGAACAGCTTCATACCCTCATAGATTTCCCCACCACTAGCAGAAAAAGGAACAAACAACACTGTTGGCGAGCACACATATATGCATTTCATCAGCGTTCTGCGTGCTAAGAACACGAAAACAACCCAAACCCGTGAACTTTGCACACGCTTGAATACATGTTATTTGGCCCTTTTTTTCCTAGTGCACCCACTTGCTGTGGACCTGAATAATTCAATCAATAGCGTCTATTCCGTGACCAGGCCTGTCATGCTTTAGTTAATATTTCGGCATTTTCAATTTCGACACCGCTTTTTGGGTTGGCAACACATCCCAATATCGTGCATGGTAAGTTGCCAGCATGATTCATAGGACTCCTGGTTATGTTAATGGTTGCAAATGTGATCGTTGCGGTGGCCCACCACTAGTGGGAAGTGCATGAATGCGTGTCAAGGCCAAAAATCGGTGAACTTTGGAAACGGTGTTTTGGAGAAAGGCCGGGGATTTGCCGTGAGGATTGCCCTTTGCGATTGTCCAGTTTTGGACATCGGGGAGCAAAGGGTTGTTTTTGGCTGTGAGGCGCAAAAATGTAGAGTGTTATGGTCGGTGCATGCAATACATGCGGGTTTCTGTGGGTATGCATTTCGCACCTGCGTGACATACAGGCTGTGGTGGTGGCAACGCCCAAGAGGCAATACTATTTTGGGGTCGCAGCAGGCGTTTGAAAGAGTTGGTTGAAAGGGCGCGTCAAAACCCTGTGAATTCATGAGCTTCGCAGCACCATTACCACGCAATCGCCTAGGTGTTACTGGGTACACAGTCCACACGTGTGGACCCGGTGGTCAGGTCGACGCGGTGAGCACATTGCCATCTCAGGTGCTGTCTAGCATGGAAACGTTGCTGGAATGAGCATAGATGGCAGAACCCCAGTCTGCTCTGTTGCCATTGGAACTGCATTTGATGATTTGAAATGTGCTCTGAATGCTGTCATCGCCCCTCCTGTATCCTCCAATGCCACATTGTCCGTGGAACTGCAGTTAATGATATTAACCCCGCTGAGTGATGCACTGACCAGTGCAGATCATTATCGCCCCTCCCGAACTGTTCATACCCTCAACCTACCGTATGCCGTTGTCGGTAAAGATCGAGCCATTAATCTCATCAAAGGAGTTGCCAGAAATCTGAGGTACATGCCCCCTCACCCCTTCTAAGTTCATAAACATAGAATCTCTCACGGTGAACGAACAGTTTGAGATGCTCACAGCTGACGCATCCGAATCTGAATCGGGCATGAAATTCATGTTTAACAGAGTCAGTGCGTTCGCATCCGACTTGTAATCCTTCGCAAGGAGGACAACACCAGCGCTGCAGCTTGCGACAATCAAAGTCGAAAGGCTTGTCGCTTGCAAAGCAGTATTGAACACGGTGCCTCCTGGGGGACAGAGAAATTCAACCTTTCCTTTCGCCTCGCTGGCTCCTAATGTGAGCGGCTTGTCGATATTTATGGCCCTGTTTGGCTTGATAG